CAAAAAAATGAACAAAATGAAAAATTATGATTGGTTAAATGAGGTTTGCATGGTTTGTACAAATTGAGTGGTTTTTATTTGAACGCTCCTCTCTCTCTCTCTCTCTATATATATATATATATATACATACATACTACATATATAACAATTTAGGTCATTATCTTAATTACAACTCTTGAAGCATAAGTTACAACCATTTTATGCAAGAAATTCAAAAAACTCTTAAAGACAAGTCACAAAGCACAATGTACAACCATTTTATACATGAAGTTCAAAAAATCTATGACTATAAGTTTCACTTTTGTAATTGAAGCTTTTTTCATCCTCTCTTTACAGCTTTCTTCCGCCCATTTATTAACTTCAAACTATTCTTTCTTGCTTCTTGTTTCTTCATTCTCTATTTACAGCTCTCACCTGAAAATTGTTTCAGCTTTTCTTTATTGTGAACAACACATCACATAGAGGTCTGTATTTGGTGGCTTGTTCAAGAAACCAGTAGAAACAAAAGATACCTGTATAAAACCGTGTGGCATCCCCCTCTTTCTCTCAATCACATTCGTATGGTAAGCTTCTTCACTGCAATTACCCCAACCCTTCCCGGTAGCCACTCTTCTGTTTTCCGGCTACTCCTCTTTCTTTCATACAAATCTCCAACCCTTGTTTCTCTTCCCTTCTATGTAACCCTCACCCCTCCCCTTCATCTTCCTATGATACACTTACAACGCCATTCATGGTAAAAGAGACGCCTCCATACCTTTTGGTGAGATTGCTTGCCGATACAAGAATCTGGATGGAACTGCATGTCCATCGGCCACAGCTCCAACTTCGGCCGCCTTTATCGTTGGCACCCTACAGCTCCAACTCCGGTCGTCTCCATCCAACCACCTTGCTCGATCTGTTGCTCCCTCTACTTCTCCTCGAAATCGGATTGTCCAAACCACAGATCTGGAGGTTCTTCTCCTCGATCTATTATTCTTTGGAAAGAAAATCCACATTTATGTTGGATCCCAACCATAGATTTGGTGGTGCTTCTCTCTTTCCCTCTCAAATTTGTTGCAACCATAGTTCTGTTCGTGGTTAAATTGAAAATCAAGCAAATGTAAATGTTAGGTTTTAATTTCAAAGATTCCTATGATGTATTGGGAATAGACAAAGCAATAACTGCTTAAGTGTAAATAATAGTAAAGAGAAGGGGTAAAGCTAAAAATGCACCGAAATATCTGTCTTCACATACAGAGATGTCTGACACAAAGCTTTCTTTTGCTCACAACCCAATGACCTTCTAGACCCTTTCCATCAAACTTTTAAATCTATAATCGTAATTAATTTAAAACTACATCATTATAATTAATAGCTTCTAGAGGATTAAAAAAACTGAAATTATTTTAAGATACCCATTTTATAACTAATTATTGGCGTTACAAAATCGTAAATATTTTAAAATAAAATAAGAAATCAAAATACCAAAAACAAAATACATGTTTTTCAACTTATTTTTGTAGATCCTAAATCAGTAGAACAATTTTTATAGATTATTTAAAATAATATTTTTCTCCAGCCTTTTGTTTTAACAAATTTTTATATATTTCTCTTAAAAAAATGTATGTTTGGAGAGAGAGATAAATTAAATTTTTATTTATGTGATTATTGTTTTAAATATTTATACAACGGTCTATCTCGATAGCAACCTTCCACATCTATTTCCTTTGACCGGAGGTCTTCCTTATCGGATGTTGGGCGAGACTCTAATCTGGTTAATTGTTTTGACCCTCGTATAAAAGATGTGGCAGATAAAGGTGATAGCATGCAAAAAGTTAGCTTTGAAAATGATTGATGTCTTGGGTTTGCTAAACCGTACATAGAAACTACTAAAAGTAAAAAAACCATCTCCCATGCATACTCCTCCCCCTTTGATTTCTAATTCCTTAAAAACTACTCCATTCATGTGGGCCTGATTTGATTTGGGCTCTATTGAGGATGTGCTTTAGCCATTTTATGATCCGATCCGACTTGCAAAATAAGCACACAAACTCATGATTCAAGGTCAGACTAATGTTTCATAATTGTGATTGACCCGCGCTGCATCGCACGGGTACACCACTAGTGTATATATATATATATATATATATATATATATATATATATATATATATATATATATATAAGAAGATAAGGATTTTCCTATCTTATCTTTTTGGGAAAATTTTGAGAAGAACAAAAGTGCGTGTGGCGGTGAAGTAGTTCTTCAGTTAAATCCTACCTAAAAGTGATTTGGAGACTGTGAACATTTGAAGAAGTTGATGTGTGATTTTAATCTTCAAATCTATGCATATTAAGGTGAGTTTTTTATATTAAAACCTTTAAATGATGCTATTTGAAATATGTGGTTTTGATGACCGATTTTAAAGAAGAATGGTAGAAACTGTTTTTAACAGTTAAAGTTGAGTTTTATGAATCTGGGTTGTGGAAACTGTTTTTGGGAAATAAAAGAAGATTTTGCTTCTTTGAAATAGTTGTGGATGATATCTTATATTAAAGATTTAAGGAAAGGTGTACCTTCGGTATAAGGGTGACATATCAAGGAGAGGTGTACCTTCGGATATAAGGGTGACATTTGTATGTGTGGTTATTATTATAACTTTTGCTATTATGTCTCTTAAGATTGCAATAGTTTTGAGTTCTTCCTTCTTTGTGATTTAAGGACTCAGGAATGTTGCTATTATTAGAAATGATATTAATGATGTTATTGAGTATGGGAAAACTTGGCTTTTGGCCAATGGTTTTGGATAAATTATGCTTTTGAGAAAGTGTTTGAATTATTTGGAACCAGAGGGCTCTGGTTGTTCCTCACAATAGAACCAGAGGATTTTGGATAATGGTTTGATCATGATACAAGTCTTTTACAAATCATTTACTTAAACAAGAGGCTCTGTATCTATTAGATAGGAGCTCTGTGTCAAGATTATGTTTAAAAAAGATGTTCATAAGATTTTATAATTTTATTTTTAACTTATAAAACTTTTTATACAAAAAGGATGAACCATAAGGGCTCTGGTTGGCCTTCACGTTGAACCAGAGGGGCGCTGGTTGGTCATGGGTTTTGAGCAAGAGGTTCCGGTTAGTAGAACCAGGGGCTCTGGTCATACTTGAGCATTTTATTTCACACTTTCATACTTGGGAAAACTATTCAATCCATCCTTTATGTTTGACTTTGTACAATTATGAAGATTAACTTGAGAGGAGCTCTGGGTATAACCAGAAGCTCTGGTATGGTCCTGCTATCTTATGAAAATACTTTCTAAGTCTGGTCTTTAGAACCAGAAGATCGATGAACTAAATGAACTATTGATTTATGTTTTCATTATGTGAAAAGTTGATTTTAAATAATGTTTTGGTGATCTTCACCCTGCAACAACATAGAAAAAGGGATCTCATTAGACCTTCAGGTCTAACCCTCATTTTGCTTTCAAATATGTATTGCAGGAACAACATAGTATAATGATAGTAAAAGAAAAGAGAAAATATAATTTGTTTCCCTATATGCATAGCTATATGAAGATCAATATGTGGATGTGTTTTGAAGATGAATGTTATATAGTACAAGAACATGTATTTTGGAATTTTTGAGTTGTGTATTTTGTATTGTAGTTTCTTGTACTTTGGACCTTAGTGGGATTATACATGTATTTCTCTGAATGAATTATATGTTATATGCAATGTGAGTTATGGGGTGTTACACAATATGAGGCATGATAATATGTTCACTCAATAGTACATTGCATCTGCAATTAGGCTAGCAACAATTTGCCATACATTCACACATTGTTACAAGGAATTAGAACACAAAATTTAGGTTTTTTGCTACATTGAGCTATAACTTCTGGTGGTGGGCTTGAATTTTGGCTACTTCATATAGATCCAACCATTATATCTCTAATTTATCTGAATTGCCTGCCTAGAGAAACTAGCATAACTGTTGGAAAGGGATCAATAGTGATATGGGTTTTCCAAAACTATAAAAAAAACCATGTATTCCTTATTCATAATCTAAATAGATTAGTGACTTGTACTTGATGGTTTGTATATTTTATACTCTTAAAATTTAAGTGTTTTATCTAAATGTTTTATAAGATCGTATGGATAAAACAAATTATATCCATTTGCAATGATGTCAAGATTGGCCCAGGGGACATGGGACCAATTCCTTCCCAAATTAGAAATCTTTTATAAATGTAAAAGAATGTATAACAACAAAAAGTGGTCACATGCTGGGACCGAGTGAGTGACATCCCCTTGTTTATATTTTGGGTATTTTATGAGAAAATACACCTCATAGTAAAATAGGAGAAAGTATGTTTTCTTATATGGTGTGCTATTAGTTTTCTGGCCCCTTGTGTTCGTTAGAAAGTGGATAGCATTCTTAAGCAACTTCCTTTTCATTTTAGACTTCCAGTTTACGTAAAGTATGAAAGCAATATGAGACATGATCATATGTTCTCTCAATAGTACATTGCATTTGCAATTAGGCTAGCAATAATTTGCCATAATTCACACATTGTTACTAGGGAATTAAAATAAAAAAATTGAGCTATAACTTCTGCTTATGTGCTTGAAGTTTAGTTGCTTCAGTTCATGTGAATTTCATGAAATGCATCCTACCATTATAGCTCTAATTTCTCTGAATTTCATGCTTAGAGAAGCTAGCATAACTGTTGATCAAAGCCAAAGCATTACTGGTCAAGTGTGCAACATTCACAATCTTTCCTCTGACCACTCTTTTCATTTTTGGGCTAGTAGCTTAGGGCTTGTTTGGATTGCACCTGCTTGAGTTGACAGTGAGTTGAAGCAGAGTGTAGGGTAAGCTGTCAAACTACAAGATGATCTGATGAATTCGATGTTTGTTTTCTTGAGGGCAAAGATGAAACTGATGGAGGAAGCCGTATAGAGAAGTAATATTAGGATAGCGTTTTGTGCTAGATTGTTGATCGAGTATGAGCCTTCCATATCTTGTATATTTTTGTGTTGAATGGCAGTAGAAGTTTTAATTGGGGGGTGGTAAACAGAACTCTGTCTAGCTCAAAGTTTGAAGCTAAAGAGGTAGGTTATGAAAGTTTAAGGAGTTGCCGACATGATGAAAGTGACAAGTTTCAATGTGATTGAAATATATCAAATTGGAGGGGGCAGGACTGGGGTCTAGAAAAAGGATGAAGATTGCAACGCCTTGAAGTTGGACCGCTGGGGATAAAGAATTGCGATAAACTTTCCTCACCACTTGCTGCTCGACTTGAACAGGTGCTTTCTCTATCTCTCTCTCTCTCTCTCTCTCTCTCTCTTAGATGCATGCATTGTTTTGGCTTGTTGAAAAGATATTTATTGATGTCGATATTGCAAAAGTGTAGATCTTTTAATATCTAGCTAGTAGATATTTTTAAATGGCAGTCAAGCAAGAATTCGAATGAAATTTGGTTTTGTTGATGTGCTTAACAAGATATACCGTACAATATTATGATTTACATGTAGGGGCTTGCAATTAAAGCTTCCAGCTTACTTCAATTACCTCAATTCTTTGGCTAGTCCCTGGCCAATGAACATGATCTATAGGTGCTTTCAAGATCAAAGCAGCAGATCATTAGACTCTGCCAACTTTGCTTCCAATTTCATTGGATTCTTTCTTTTTGGTCATCAGATCGCCTCAGATGTTACATTCTGGTTGTATTTTTGCATACCCATATCGTTTTGACATTTACATGATGTTCACTAAAGATGCGAGTGGCAAACATGTGACCTTAATCATGATAAGCTTTTATGATTCTTTAGGGGCATGAAATCCAGGGGTTTGAATGGATATATAGCATTTGTTTGTTCTCGATTTTGGGTTTTATTTTCTTAGTTATTCATTTAGAGAAAGATGAAACTATTTGATGTGTGTAATCGCATGGTGTTAGCATGAGTGATAGAGTAGGTGTTTGGAAAATTTTCAAAACTTATTGTTTTGATTTTGGAAACGACGCCTTAGTTGTGCATGGCTACCAACAGGCACAACTGTTCACAAGGGGGTTGGTTCGAGCAGTTGTGACGGTTTATGGGTGCAAGCTATTAGTGATGGCTGCTTTGAATGGTACCTGTTTAAATAGTCACTATGGTCAGAATTGTTGCTTTAGCTGCCATGTGTCGCAATTATGTCAACAACGACAATTTCAAGGCTGTTACAAATGCCTGTGTATAGTAATAATACATTGTGTTGCTATAGAAACAAAATCTCTCTAGTTTAACCGTGATTATGACCATAACTGCGGTGTTGATAATCATTGATAGTTGATAATAGTCCTATACATTACCTCTTAGTGGAGAGAAAAAAAGCTTTTCTCTTATCGTCTCAATTTGCTTAACTTCTCCTGTGTTTAAATCCCCATGAAAACTTGTCAGGATCAAGAATAAGTGATATGTTCATTTCTGGGTACATCTTTGAATGACCTCAGATACTTTTTATAAGTATCCTCCAAACAAAATATATCCAATCCATGTGCATTTATGTTTAGATTGGGGCCATTTCTTCCCTCTTACTCCCACATCAGAAATATGTAAAAGAAGACCCTACAACAAAAGCTCATCACATGCTAATGCTATGACTGAATGGTTAATATCCCTCCCCACACACACACATACATATACATATTATATAATGTTATGACAGAAATGGGAACCATAAAAGTTTTATAAATTACGAGAACCGATATTTTATCGGCTATAATTTTAATGTATGTGATAATTTTAAATATTGTTTCACATATGTTAAAATTACATGTGAAACTTCACAGAGTGAAACATATACATGTAAAATTATCACATTATGAAACATATGGGTTGGGTTCTGGTGAAAAACATAATAAGGGATCTCCACTCTTACATGCACAATAGAATGAGATGCACCGAGAGGAATTGGATCAATCCCCGTATCAAGCCCTATTCATGGATGAGTTTGAGATTAAAGGTGATCAAAGGTCCAGATTCTTTCTTACGCTTCTCATCTTAACTCTCTTTCTCACACGATCATTCACATATATATATATATATATATATATATATATATATATATATATATACTTGGGATCATGTGAGACCAGCCTGTTTTCGTGAGACCCCTGAGACCAGCATTTTACACTTGAAACTTCACAGCAAAAATGCTGTGAAAGTGACTTTTTAAAACCTTCACAGTGTTTTTGCTGTGAAGGTTCGACTTTTTTAAACCTTCACAGTGTTTTTGCTGTGAAGTTTACGTGTAAAAATGTGGT